TCTTTTCCCATACGATTACATGTAAAACCAAATAATTCGTTCCAACGCGAAAAACATACTCAAATTAAAGCCAAATAATACATTTAAAAAAATAACTGTAGTAAGGAAAACAAATGAAAAATGCGAACTAATGTAACGTCGTATGGTGAGTTTTTGTTCGTATCGTGGAGCAAAAATATGTTCGAATTTCATGTCGTATTCTGAAAATTTCGTATGCTGGGGCATTCGTATCCTGAGGTACCACTGTATTAGTTTTTAAAATTTCCAATTTTAGATTTCCTGGAAACAAAAAACACTTGAATATTTCCTGGGAAATATAGTGATGTGGAAATTGTTTTATTTTGAAAGTATCTTTAAACTGAAATATCTACTTTACATACAGAAAATACTTAGCTTCAAATTGCCACTAACGTTTTCCATCATGAAAAAGAATAATTTTTATGAATTTAGAAATAATTTTTATGGCCATTGAATAAAAAGAAACATAAAAAAGAAATGACATCACTAGTGATGCCATTTCTTTAGATAAATCATGAAATTTTTGAACAAGTAAATGAAGCATGAACTGTGTATATAAAATCATAATCTGTTAAAAATTTTCAAAATTATTGCAAAAAATTAAATCTAATTAAATATTTTTTGATAATGATGACAAGTTCTAAAATGAACTACCAAAAAAAATTGTTCCCACAATATTTCTGCATACTGTAGCCACTATGTCTATCTTTGTTTGAATAACATCATTGCCTGCCAGTAAAACTCAGCAAAAATTATTAAAATATATTTATTTTTTGTAAAGTTGTTATGAATTTAATACAATAGACCCCCTATAATGCGGGTTCATATAATGCGGATTCGTATATCGCGGCGAAAAAATTGCGACTGTATTCATAGAAAGACACTAACAGAGACTCGTAAAATAAAGTAAATCATTGCCGACTCGTGTCTTGACAGGATTGGTCGAATCTGGACCAATAGTGGACGAGCAGCCGAACTACTTACACACTACGAAGAGTTTAGGCGGATAAGTTGAGTTTACTATCGTCTGTACAGTATATAGGCCTAAATTAAGTACTGTAAATCTAATACAGTACTGTAATTTTATACATTTGTTGTGAAAAAAACATTTCTTATTCAATGGCCATAAAAATTATTTCTATTAATGATGTCTCCAAAGTTCAATAAATTTTTCGCAGAAAAATAACTTATCAGAAAATGGGCCTGCCATTTGGTGCTCTGCTCTGCAACGAAAACAAGCTTAAGCAATGGCGTCATCGAATGGTGCACACTTGGTAAGTAATCCTACAATTTTTTGTTTATAGAATAGTTTATACGGATTATTCCCAAAAAATTATACGTGTTTTGGAAATGTTGAGTCAAATTAGTCTAGAATTAATTAATTTTATGGAAGAAAACCTTTCAAACAGCCGTAGTCCGTAAACTGCACACGTGCTGGGCTGTGATTGGCTCCTGTATTTGAGGATTCCTACAACGCAAAATTCTTATAAAGTGAAACGTATCTACCACGTTATAGGGGGGTCAACTGTATATCAGTATGAAAAATTTTTTATGTAAATGGTTTTTGTGTATTATTATTATGCCTATTATTAAATTTCAATTTTATAGAACAAGAAACCTATGTGATATTATTCTGTAAAAAATAATTAAGTTATTATAGTTTTAAAATCACAATTGCTAAAATTTTGAAATATGTTGAAGTTTACTCATCATATCTTAAAAAAGATTATGGTAATATAAGCTTTAAAAAATTTGTAACCATAGAAAAGTATGTTATGTTAAAAATGAAAATAGCTGTTATTTGTAAATATGTGTATAAATATTTTGTCAAGTTTTAAAAGCTAAAAAATTCCCGGGACTTTGAGTTTATTTTTCCTGGGAATTTACCTTTGTCAGTTTTCCAGATATTTTGGGAATACCCATACCAAAAACCCTACAAACTATTAATAACATTCAAATTTTCAACAAAACAGTATCTTTATCATTAACAACATACTATTAAACCTTGGCTGTTATTGGGTTGTTCGGAAAGTAATTTCGTTTTTTTTTTACTTCTAGATGGATTAGTCGTATTTTTCCCGCCATTTTCATTCTAAACTATATTATCATTATATATTTTGACAGCTAGTATTTTAAGGCTTATTTGTAAAAAATTTTGTTTGATTCTGTGCAATTGTTTACTTTTTGTGTCTCATCAAATATGGAAGATCGAAAGCATCATTTTCGGCATATTTTGCTCTTTTATTATCAAAAAATCAAAATGCTGTTCAAGCAAGAAAAAAATTGTGTGGCGTGTATGGAGAAGATGTATTGACAGAACAACAGTGCCAAAACTGGTTTACAAAATTTCGTTCTGGCAATTTCAATATTGAAGATGCACCACGTTCTGGATGGCCAGTTGAAGCCAACGAAAACAAAATAAAGGTACTGATTAAAACAAACTGCCTAATAACAACGTGTGAAATCACTAAGAGATTAAATTTGTCAAATTAAACTGTTTATGATTACTTGAAACAACTTAATTTCATTTCAAAGCTTGATATATGAGTTCCACGTAGGGTTTGGGAAGTCTCGACATTCTCAAAGTCCCGGGACACGAGACAACTCACGATCAAAATCCCGGGACGTCCCGGGACTTCGAAACTTCTCAGAATAAAATTAGAATTGAGTTCATTTTTGGCAAGATGTATCAATAAAAAAGCAATTTTAGTAAAAATCAACATTTATTGAACATAAAATCAAATCCTAACATTTATAACGTTAATAAAGTCTAAACAGTTCGTATGTTTAATTCTTATAATCATAGATTCCCTTTTTGGCAGTGAAATCTTAAAATTATAAAACCAACTTACTTGTTAGTAATCATACTAATCATTAATAATCATCAGCTAGTTTCTATTCATTAGTCATATAAATAATATAATGAACTAGCAATTAGACATCTTTTCTGATTTAATAAAATAGGCATTTAAAAACATCAGAACATTTACAGTTTTTCGGACAATCTGTTTATGATTTTTGCAATAATGCCTCTGGACAAGGAGAACACACTCTCGTTTCCAACAGATGTCGGTTTTACTGTGTTTAAAGCTTTATAAAGTAGTTTCAAACTTTCAGTACGTTTTCTGGTTTCTTCAAATAGCTGGAACTCCTTTTTTAATGCTGCTCTTGATCATTTTGCAAAAATTTCGGATACATTTTCTTCGATTTTTTTGATTGCCTGTTCCATTTGACTTTGAAACGACTCATCGGGTTCGTTGTGTACTGTAGAGCTACTGGTACTGGGTTCGGCGTCCATTATTTCCAAATCTTGCGTTTGGATACGAGGGATATTTGCAAAAAGTCTGTAATGCAGATCTTCCGCAAAAGCAATAAGTGCAGTTTTATTCAAATTCGAAGTAAAAAAACCCGTATTTTGCGACTGGGCTGTGGTGGCCAGTGTGCAAATATTTTAACAAACATTTAACAGAGTAAGGTTAAAAGTCACACGGCCTTGTAAATTACCCCACCTCTGTTATTTATTTGTAAACAGGAGGGAAAACAAAGGAAGCGTCGCTCGGCTAACCTTTTGAAAATAAAATTTCGAAAATACAATTTCAATAAGCGTGTCTCGAGTCTTGACCCGAGACAATTAAATTTAGAAGAAGTCCCGGGACTTCGAGACACAAGACGTCCCGGGATGCAAACCCTGGTTCCACGTGTTCTTAAAGAGAGATGCTCTCTTTGGTGGGATTTTAAGGAAATTTTTTTTNATATTAAATTTGAATAGAAAAATTATTGTTATTTGATTATTATAACTTATTTATAATTATAAAGTTCTGTACAAACAATATATTATGATTCAATTTTAAAACTGTGGAGATAAATGTGAAATTAAAATATTTTACACCTAAAATAACAATTAAATATATATTTAATGATTTAAATGAATAGTTTATAAAATTGAAAATGCAGAAACCATGGTTAAAGTAAAAGGTTTATTCTTCCATAAATGCAGGACACAAAGTTTTAAATTTAAATGTACAAAGTACATAACCAATATTTTTAATGACAGAGACACAATAATATTAATAATAATAAAAATTCAATTGTTATTTTTCCAGGCCCCCAAGAGGCTTTTTTCATTCTCTTTGGGAACTACTGCTTCATTATAAAAGCATGGAATCTCATTCTTTACCTTCCTCTTTAGTCTTTGCTTTTTTTCCTTTAACATCATCATTTGACCAATCAGATTCCTCTTCACTTTGACTATCCCAATCTTGAACTTCTTCTTCTTCAGATTCATCTTCATCTTCATCATCTTCGTCTTCATCGTTTGGTGCAGATTCTATTAAATCAAAATTCTCAATTAACAAAATTTTTAAAATGAATTTAACCCTTCTTTCATATCAAATTAAGGCCTCAAAGTTGAATTTGTCAATTAGTCATACAAACCCTCAGTTAGGAGATATTCATGGTCAGTCAAATAAGTAGTCTCTGGATATTTAAACATAAAATGTTGAAAGAAAATATTTTTGGAAAATTAAAGAACATGGTTTATTATATAAGATGTCATCATTAAAAAGTAAAGTTTTATATATTCAGTATTAAAATATTAAACAATTTACAAAATTATTTTATATCATCTACCAAAATTATTCTAGGAATTTCATTCATGTAATGCAAACTGATCTGATGTAGTATTGGGCTATAATAAGACTAATTTAATAATAAGAAATAAAGTAATTTGACTTAGAAGTAAATGGTTATGCCACGATCTCATGATAATTTTAATAATTATAATAAATTTATTCTTAATTTACAATTTCTGGAAGAAAAGAATCAGTTCAGAGTGGCAAATTCTTTTCATTCATATAAATGCAAAATCTATTAATTTTACATTTATGAAAGTAAGAATTAAAATTTTGAAAAAATTTAAAGCTAGATATTACTTTATTAATTGAATAGTTTGAAATAATATATATAATAAATTTTTAAAAGTATATTCTATATATTATTAGAAACAAGATAAGTTGCAGGAAGGAAATTTTCCACAATATGTTTTCTGAAAGTTTTTTTTCCCCTAAATAATTGATTTAGTATATATAATTAAAAACGACTATTTTTTTTATTGGAATGCATGTATGAATTTAAATATATAATATCTACATTAATATATACAACTCATATTTTTTTAAATTATTATTTTTCAATTTCAAATAAATTGAAAAATAATTTCAAATAAATAGCAATTAATAATTATAAATTCTTTGAAATATTACATAAAATTTATAATTTTATAAACTTAAAATGATGACTGCAATGATGCAAAAAATTAAAATGCTACATAACATTGCATTCTTTATTATACACAATATGTTAGATATTTGAAAATTCAAAATTTAAAAAACTGTAGATGCAAAAATATAGTAAAACCTGAATGCAATTTTTTTTAGGGAAATGAAGATGAAAATGATAGAGTAAAACAACAGTTGTAGAGAATTATTAAAAATTATAGATAAAAACAATTTAATGAAAATTACTCTTTGAAATATATGATGCAACATTATGGTATATTTAAAACACTAATTTTTTCTGAAGAAATCCTTGATTGACATTTGTTTTGTGCAAACTTTATGCCTCAATTCAAAATATGATATTTCAAGGTCAATAATGCTTTCATAATCATTGTAATTTGTGCTGTTCAAATAAAAAAACTTTTACTTTTATTGGCACTTCATGTGCACCAACAAAGCTTAGCATAACTTTTGGTTTGCATTATTGTTCTTTTTTTTTTATTCTCCTCCACATTCCCAGGTGCTAGGAGAATCTTGCAATGCTCAGTATGAGAATATAAAGTAAAACCTTCCTTTGTAATCATCTCTATTTTGTTCTGAACTCTCAATTGTGCCCATTTTCAACATGTGACCAAAATATTTTTGGTCCTTTCCATAGAAATCAGCCTCTGATATATCACCCTTTGCATAAGTCTAAGCATGTAGTTACTTCAAATGCAATTCTTCGCCTTATGGAGCTGTTTTCTTTGTCCTATTCCAGGCAGTGGCAGATTAAGATTCTTCTGCACAAAAAGTTTGGAGTCCTCTACATAATTTTACATCATCATAAACTAATAATCTCTAATTGTAGCTATAGAATTATTTATAAATTGTGATATACACTGCCAGAAACAAATTCCAGCACCAAGGAGTTATACTAGATGAATGAAAATTACACAAAATATTTATTTGTATGATTTATTATTACATTGATACCAGTTTCGAAGTCACAACTTCCATATGATGCAAGTACAGGGTGATTCAAAAGTCACAAAAATTTTTAAAAATTAATAACTCACAAACCATTTACAATAAGATGATGTAGTTTTCACAGAAATGCTTAGAAAGAAGCGGGATTTTTTTGTGTAATAAAAATTTTAGTACCAAAATAATTATATTTTTTGCCATAAATGGCACTTGATGAGATTACATAATTTGTGAAGTTGTTACTAGAGTTTACACTAGGAACATTTTTATTTTTTTATTCTTACTTTAACAAATTTATAAATTATTTCAATTTTTTACAATAGAGAATGTATGGAACATGATTTAATAAAGTAAAAATTACATTACAGATACTAATCATGCAGTGAAGATATGATTAGTATCTGCAATGTAATTTTTACTTTATTAAATTGTAATTTTGCCAGCTCTTTTTACAAGGAAGTACAGAACATGATTTTATGACAGATCCAGACACATCTGCACCAGCAACAACAATTACTGATCTGACTCTACAGCATGGAATGTCATCCAACATCTCTATGAATGAATGCATGCACATGTGGAAACCTACATTCTATATGATGGTGATTACAGTGAGTATTGTGATGTTAAAAACTCTCAAGAACCAGAAATTACAGCAGAGTAAAATTTAATACAAGAAAAATGAACATTTTTGACAAAGTTGTTTTAAATATGGAATACGGAGGATAGAACAATCTATCTTCTTCATTCCATTTATCAAACTGAAGATGATAACTTAAGTTTGTTGAAAACATTCATTTTTCTTGCATTAAATTTTTCTCTACAGAAATTTCTGGTTTTTGAAAGATTTTAATATTGTATCACATCCAGTTCTTGAGAGTTATTACTGGTATTGAGGTTTCTGGTTTTTAAGAGATTTTAATATTGTATCACATCAAGTTCTTGAGAGTTACTACTGGTATTGAGGTGAATAGCATTCAACTATTAATGTGATGCTGCATGTGCATTTTATGAGTTATACTCTCAAAATACATATCAAAGTAATAAATCACGTTGATAAATATTGTGTAATTTCTGAGTTCACCTAGTATAATTCCTTCTTAGTGTCACGATTTCTGTTTCTGGCAGTGCATAATTCAATAGTAAAATTATTTTACTTTTTCCAATTTGAAGGTCCTAGGTTATGTCTCATATTCCTAATCCACAATTCAGTACTGTTTTCAGGAATGATAATATGATCACTAACCTATAAAATGTAACTTCTTTACAGTAATAAGAGCATTATGGTAACTGGCAACTTGCATTTACTAACAGAACTGTAAAAAACCATAAATTTCAGCACAAATTCTTTAATAACTAATGTTTGACCTTTTTTGAAAACTTCCATCATGCTGCACTACTTTGAGTATCAAAGATGCTCATAGAATATATCTATAGACATTCTGTAAGCATCTTTTATATTTGAAATTGATTGATTTGATTTGTTAAATCAAACTACAGTGGTACCTCAGGATACGAAATTAATTCGTTCCGAAACTGAGATCGTATCATGAAAATGTCGTAAGGTGAATCAACTTTTCCCATACGATTACATGTAAAACCAAATAATTCGTTCCAACGCGAAAAACATACTCAAATTAAAGCCAAGTAATACATTTAAAAAA